AAAGTTGCAATAGTGGGTGAAGAAGATCAACTTGCACCTTGATACTGGCTCCGGAGGCCTGAATTGCCATTTTTTCTTCTTAAAGAAAACGGTTTCTATACTCAGCAAGCAAGTGAGGAATTGAATGAATCTGCTCTTGAATAGAAAAGGAGAAACAGAGTATAGTCTGCTTGCTCTTCATCTTTCAGTGTCTTCAACTAGCCATCAATTTTTAGAATTCAATCTACCCCAGCGGCAGGTGGTTTAATTTCATTTGTTTTTAGGCCGTATTATTTTTATTTTGGCACCATTAAAAAAGGAGAAACAATTCTGATGGATTCTGCGTTAATATGTAATAAATTAAATAATTGATTGAAATATATAATAGTTGTGATTTTTGTTGTTTGTTGTTTCATTTTGTTGTATTAGACTTGTTTCCCTTTGTGGTATTGTGTTTATTTTTGTTGTATCCGGTTGCTTTTTGTTGCAATGTGTTGCTTATAGTTGTTTATTGTCGATTTTGCTTGTAAATTAGGTTTTATTTATCTTGACTTCTTGCTGGAAATAATAGAAACTTATAAAAATTTGTGTGCAAACACTTAAAATTATATTCTTAGATATATGAATATAAAAACAACTAGAAACAATAATAAACAATAAAAAAATGTAATATTCAGATTTATCAACAAAAAACAAGTGTATAACTTTTATGATTTTAGATTTTTAAAAAATATTATTTACGTATTTTCCATTTTTACTACCTCCGTTCCACTAATATTCGGACGGAAGGGGGCGACATGGTTATAAAGAAAATTAAGCTTATGTAGTTGATATCAATTGATAAAGTAAGAATGATTTAAAGTCACGCAAACACGGTTTTAAATACACGATTACGTAATTTTTTTTATAAATTTCGGGTGTTTAGAGTTTTATATTTACAAATCCCCCCTTTTGTACATTTTTCTTTTTTAAAATTTGTCTTTTATGCAATTTAAAAAATCATCTGTTTTAAGTTTTTTGCAATAATTTTATTTTTATGAATACTTTCAAGTTTACATATTAACTTTAGTTTTTTATGTTTTCAAATATCAGAATTCACATTATTTGATTTTTTACAATTTCTTTTTTTAGTTTTTACGAATTTTATGCATTCTTTATCTTCAAACTTTCATATTCATATTTCTCAGAGATTTAAAAAGAATCAGTTTTTTATGATTTATTTACTTATTTTTTAATTTTTTTAGAATATTTTAGAATTTATATTTTTAAACTTTATGACTCTTTTAAAAAGTTTTATAATTTAAAAAGTATTATTTTTTAATTTATTTTAATTTTTTAACATTTTTTTTGTTTTTTATAATTTATTCTTTTAAGATTTAATACATTTTTATTTTTAAAAATATTTATTTTCTGGTCTACGTTTTTTCAATTTATTTTTAATTTAGAGATAAGTCTTTTGCCTTTTGCTTGCTAACGTGGCAAGACCGCAAGACTACATGAGTGCATTGGTGTGCATTGGTGGAAGCTTGCTTTCTGGCAATTTGACGGTGCTTCCCAGGGAGAAAGATGCATTGACGGGATGAGTTCTATTTCCGAAAAGAATTTTCAAGGTGGACAAAAGTGATATAATTTTCCATTTTTAGTCTATTCGTGATATTCTCCCTCCAAAAAAACCTAATCTACTCGGAATAGAGACTTCCGAATCACCCATAAATTTTTTCCCGTGTTTTTGCACTCCATGCTCACTTTTCCCGTCTTTTGGGAAAACACCCCATAAATTGTGTGATGGGCTGCGTGACTCGGTTGTCATAATCGAGTGAAATTACGACCCAGTCTTCCACTCTAATGAGATTGGACTTAGGATGTTTTTACTTGGACTGTAATTTGCTGGTCTGGTCTGGTCTGATCTGGTCTGGTCTGGTCTGAACTGGTCTGGTCTGGTAAGGTCTGGTTTCTTTGTATTTTTATAACTATCCAAGTCTGGTCTGGTCTGGTCTGGTCTGAACTGGTCTGGTCTGGTCTGGACTGGTCTGGTTTGGAGCAAATTACAGTCCAAGTAAAAACATCCTTACATATCTCATTGTCGTATGTTTACGTCAATCTGGACTTAAATTCTGTATACACAAGTCAGAAAATGTTTGCGATGGTTTGCAAAAATTTCTAAATTGATTGACTTACTCATCGATATGACAGCCTAAATACATTTAGTGATTTCAGACTTGTATGTTTTTTTTATATTCATAATTTGGGCTTGAGTCGTAAACGAGAATTGTGTATTTTTGCATAAAGAACCCATTGCAACTCTAAACGAGAATTGTGTAACACAATTATCATTCACGACTCAAGTCCAAAATATAAATAGAAAACAACATACAAGTAAGCTGACTAGGTATTACTCCGAATATGACCGAGTAAGCCTGAAAACATGATGACTTAAATTTTGAATATGACATCGTATGATCTCATTTCGAGTTGCAATGGGAACGAGAATTGTGTATTTTTGCATAGGGGACCCATTGCAACTCGAAATGAGATCATACGATATCGTATTCAAAATTTAATTAAGTCAATCTTCGTGACTTGGCATTAGCGAACCAATTCTTGATTAGCTTAAACACTTGTAAGCCTGAAAACACTTGTATGAATAAACAAATCTCCAGTAATAAATAACTGGAGATTACATGATCTGTTGAATAGGGGAACGTTGCAATGACTGAAAATATTTTCTAAACACGAAGACATGATCAACCGGAGTCTAATATGCCATCCCATTGTGACCCCATGGTTTTTGATCAGTATGTTAATACAATAATACTAGTATATCAACAATCTTGATATAGTAAGCCAATCACTTATTTCCCATTGATAGAGTATTAATTCTAGAGAGAAGTGAGAGCTAGAGAGAGAAAGTGAGCAATTATATTTCTCAATTGGGAAAGGAACCCCCCATAATTAGCCCCTTGGGGTCTATTTATAGGTAAAAATGTAGATTTGGGCCCCTAGCCTTGGGCTTAGGAGGCCCATTACAATAATCATGCCTTCTCTGGGCGAATAAAGGCCACTAATGGGCTGAGTACAACACTTAGTACAAAAAATAGGAAAATACATTCTGCCCGGACGAAGTCCGGACGATGCGGTCCATGGACGATGCGGTCCATGGACGATGCGGTCCATGGACGATGCGGTCCATAGAAATCAGGCGATATCTTCTCTCTTGGACGCTACGTGCCTCTGGCCGATGCGGGTGTCCCGCTGGTGTCTTTTGGGCCATTGAGTATGTGGGCTATGGGGTCCAGGCCCATATACTCTATCAGGAGTCCCCCACTCTCTGAGCTGAGGTGAAGCCGAAGCGAAAGGGAGTACTTGTTCCTTTCTGGCTGGCCGTTGCGTGAGTCTAAGGCGTTTGATGGCCGAAGAGTTCTTGCTTTGATTTTGGATGAAGCGGTTCCCTTGTTTGATGTGGACGAAGCGCGTTTGGGAATTTATAGCCTTGATGCTGGCCGCTGCACTCTTTGTGGAAGTGCTTCTGAAGACGAGGCGATGCGCTTTTTCTTTTTTGTAGATGATGCGATGAATCCTGGTGGATAAGTTGGCATGCTTTCGTCCTCCTGTTGGGGCCGAAGAGCTCCCATCTATTCTTTTGGCCGTAGCGATGACATATTTTCATGAGATGGAGATGGTTGATTCCATTTATGTAGACGATGCGACGCACGCCTTTGATTTGTCATGTAGCCGAAGCGTTTGATTTGTGGGTTCTTGCTCTGGTGAGCCGATGCGGTCCCCCAGTGTGCGTAGCCGTTGCGCGCTCAGATTTTGTATTTTGGGTTTTTCATTTTGGGCTCTGTGGCCGATGCGATCCGTGGTGCTTTCGGGGTGAATTGCTTGTCTCTTGTTTATTGGTGAGCCGTAGCGCATCCTGTTCGCATTAAGGCCGTTATGTTTTCTTTCCACGTAACCGATACAGTCCCCCAGTCCCCCACTCCTTTGGCCGAAGAGCATCTGAGGCACAAGGGAGTAATGAGCCGATCCGGTACCTATGCGTTAGTCGTGACTCCAACCCTTAGGCGAACCTGTCCAGGTAACCCTGTGGGAGAACCCTTGGACGAAGGCCGCAATGCCAGGGTTATCATCGACGATGCGCGCACAGTGCCAGGTCTATTTAAGGTTCCTTGGGTTGTTGTGAGGAAGTCGAGTTTAGGCCGATGCGTCCCTTATTTGGGAGAATGGGCCGGTGCCTGTTTTAGAGCTTTGTAGTAATTGGGCCGTAGTGGTACTCGGCCGATGCCCTTCTTTTTGTAAGGATGAGTTGGGCCGTAGGGGTGCTTGCATGAGTGATTTTGAATTGATACCCCGTCATTGGTCGGAAGAGAGGCGACCGTTGGTGGAGCTAATGGGATGGTGCCACGTGTAGTGACCGTTGGAAGGTCTCTATAAATACCCCCTCATCCCGAAGCCGTTTCCTCATTTGCATTTGCTGTTGTCGAATTGCTGCCGAGATTTCTAGAGAGATAAAGTGCTTCCCAGAAATTTTCAAGAGTTCTTCGGATCTTCACCCACTCCAAGGTTAGGTTCTTGAATTGTTCTTCCTTTTTCCTTTATACTTTGCTTCCTAGGGGGTTAGATCTAGTGTTTCTAGGAAAAATCACTTTGATCCTCGAACAACCCTTAGGACGTAGCATAGTTGTTATGCCGTTCCCTGACGGCCGTAGCGTCCCCTCCCCTCTTAACTTAACAGCTTCTTTAGACGAGTCGGACTGGCCTTTTGACGACGAGGACCCGTCTCCTGGAGTGAATCTTGAGATAGTTCGAGCGTTTGAAACAGAGATGGAGAATACTGCCGATTACCGCACTTCTCAGGACGAGGACCGTCTGAATGACGATGCGGGTTCCCAACAATCGGGCGAGGACGAGGCGAGCTCGGAACCCAAGCTCCGGGGAGACGAAGCGGGTGATGCCTCTTCGGCCGCCATCCCCTGCCCTCCACCTATTTCGTATGTGCCAGGTGGGGCGTCGTCTTCTAGGGTTACCAAGGAACGCGCGTCGCGTCGGAGGAAAGCTGCGGCTGGTGGGTTGTCCCAATTGGACTTAACAAATCTGTATGTCATAAGGCCCGAGGGCACCCGAGGGGACTATCATTTGGCTCAGCTGTATGTTGGGCCTTATGGAAAGGTGAGGGAGCCGAGGCCGACGGACCATGTTCTGAATCCTCCTCCTGGGTACTTCGGGGTTTATCCGATGGGGTTCTCTCAAGGATTACGATTTCCGCTGCCCCCTTTTGTGATTGAGTATCTGAATATGGTGGATCTTCCCCCAGCGCTGTTGACCCCGAATAGTTTCTCACTGATCGTCGGGTTCCTCATCCGATGCGACGAGCTGGGTTTTGAGCCCACGACGGCGCTTTTCACAAATTTGTTCCGGATCGGCCGAGGGAGCCATAAGAATTGCGCTGGTTATGCTACGCTTCAGCAACTCCCGGAGAAAAAATCTTTCAAAGACCTCCCTTCGTCTATCCATGGGTGGAAGGCGAAGTTTGTATTCGTGAAGTTGGCCGATGGGGTTTTCTTTCCTTCGCAAGGGCATAACGGTAATTTTAGCCTGCATAATCCGCCACGAAGCGCTGAGCTCGATGCCCAAGTTGAGGCATTCCTAAAAGGTGGGCCGAGGAGTGTGAACACGTACATTACTGAGTTCAAGATTGCGGCTCTCGGGATGATGCGGTATTACATTCCTGGCGACCCGGATTGTGGATTGTGGCCTAGGATTTCTGGCTCTTTTGAACAGGCCGATGGGCCACTTCTTGGGATTCCGGCCGAGGCCGAAGGTTGACACTTGCCTTTGAATCTTTTTGTACTTGGTATTTTTGTTGTGACTAATCCTTTCTTGTGGCGTCGTCCTTGCAGGTTACGAGATGAGTCGCAAGATGTTCATGGCTCAGGCCAAGAAGCAGGTTGCAAAGGAGCTGGAGGCTGCCCAGCGAGCCGAGGCGTCCAAGGGTTCTGGCGACGGCTCTAAGGGTATTGCTGATGCGGCAAAAAAGCCTGTGGTGAAGAGGAAGAAGGCTGCCGAGGGGCAGCGTACTCTTACTGAGACGGGCTGGTGCCGGCTGAAGGCGCCAAGAAGACGAAGCCGAACCCTCCCCCCAATGACGCTGCTTTGGCCGACACGCAGTCATCGGTCCAAGGGGGAGCTGCCTCTGATGTGCACATCATCGAGGATCTGACGTTGAACGTCGCCTCGTCCTCCCTAGTTCCTGCTAAGTCCGGGGCTGCTGCAAAGAAGAGTGCCCGCGCTGACCGAGACCTGACCTCCGGTCTTTATGAGGTGACGGTGCGGTATCCGCCGAAGGGCGGTTTATTCAACGAGAAGGTTTCCGGGCACGACGTCTTGTTCCAGGCCATTCCCGATGCCGATAGGGAGTACCTACGTCGGCAGAGCAAGGATGTGCGCCTCTTTGATGGTGGATTGGACTACGTCGTCCAGGTAAATATCTGACTTGGTACTTAGTAATTTTTGTGTTCCTTCTTTTTCTAATGTTACATGTTTCTGTAGGGTGCCTTTATGCTCATGGAGCAGCAGCGGCGGCAGGACGAGGAGCTTGCTCGCCTTCGCGAAGCTGAGAAGAAAGCCGCCTCTGCAGACGAGGCGCTGTCCCAGTTGGAGCGGCTTCGGGCTGAAACTGGCTCCTTGAAGGAGAGGGCCGATGCGGCTGGGAAGAAAGCCGTTGCTGCCGAAGACGAGGCGAAGCGCCTCAAGGTTCAGTTGGACGAAGAAGCGGCTGCCCGTCGGCTAGCAGAGGAAAGAGCCGCGAAGGTAGAAGCCGATGCGGCTGCGGCTGCTGACAGAGCCGTGGAGGTCTTCATGGCCGAGGGTTGGAAGGACGAAGCCCGACGCGATTGGACTTTTAACGTCATGGCGGAGCGTTTCGAGGCGTGGTCTCAGGAGGAGGCTGGCCGAGCCCGCCTGAAAGAGGAGTTTGAAGTCTGGTACGACCTCGGCCAGAGGCGTATGCAGATGTTGGTTTACCGCCGCCTCCGCCGGCGTGTAAAGAACCTGAAGCCCAGGGGTATCGGCCTTCCCCGGATGATGAAGGACCCCGAGGAGGAGCTGAAACTTCCTGTGTCCGAAAGGCAGCCCCCCATCTTGAGCTCGGATGAAGAGGACGAGCCCTGGACCGAGAGTGATGATTACCTCTTCCGGACCTCGACCAAGTCAAAAAATACTGAGGATGAGCAAGACGATGCGGACAGCGGAGCCGTCGAGGGTGGCCAAGGACAAGCTGCTTAGTGTTTCTTGTACTTAGTTTTCTTTCCTTATTTGTAGTAGTAGTCTTTGATGGCCGAAGCGCCCTGATGATTGTAATGGCCGAAGCGCCCTCCTTGTATGATTTGAATTATCAATTAAAGATCTCTTTTTGTCTAAGTATAGATGTTTTGTTGCTCCGTCTTCATAGCTTTTTTTTTTTTTGAAGTATGAATTTTTAGTGTCGTATCGTCTCTGTGCTCCATGCTTTATAAGTTTCATCTTCAAATTCGGCTAAGTGTTTGCGAACATACTTCGGTTGGTTGAGACGAAGCGTTCCTTCGGTGTCTCAAGGGATATGCGTCCCTCGTCAGAGATGATGAGGTGGTTTGCTGTTGTGGCATCTTCAGACGAAGCGCGCGCTCCTGATGGTGGTTCAGGGCCGCATCCCCATCTTCACCGCATTGTTTTTGTGTACTTTCTAATCCTCGCGTTTTTTTGCTAAGTGTCAGTTCCATACATCCGTGTTTGGTTGAGACGATGCGCTCCTTCAGCAGTTGTAAGAAGGACTTCAAACGCCTACCTGTGTTTGGTGCAAGAAAGCCCGGATGTTTCTTGATATTTTTCCAAGTACCATGGCCTCTTGAAACGTGGCGCTGCGTCGTTATGCGCATCGGCTGCTGGTTTGATTGGTACTTTGGAAGGCTTGGGGGACGCTAAGTACCAAGGAATTGTTTTGCTTGGGTTCGTCATTTGGGTTTTGCTTCGTGGAGACGATGCGGCCCATCGTCCAAGTAACGGACTGTGGTTTTGTATAACCGAAGCCGAAGCGATTCCCCTTTGTGACGCTATGGTTGAGGCCGAAGCGTGCACTTCGGATCCCTGTATAGTGAAAACCTGATATGTACTTAGCCAAATTTGATGCTTTGGTTTTTGTGGGGATTTTGTTTTTATGCTCGAGGCCGGCGAGTGCACGGTACGTCGGCTTCCCTCTTTTTCTTTTTTTTTTGTGGCCGAAGGGTTACTGTCCCTTCGTCTATGTGCGGTAGTTTGCCCGCTACGCTCTTCGCGTGAATTAGTGCGAGGGAGTAAATACGCCCTCGGCTTGGTGTGTCAGTGGCATCCTTTTTTGGCCTTTCCACGTCTATCGTCGACGAGGGACCGGACAAGGCATCGTCTTTCGACGGCCGCCCTTTGTGGTCCTGAGCGAAATTTTACTGATGGGTGGAGTTTTTGTAACCTCAGCCTTAATTCAGGCCTGTCGTCCTGCGGTTTCCGCGCGGACGACGCGGTATGCTTCTCCGTTTGAAGACGTTGGACCATGCACACAGGTCCTTCGTCCTGCATATCGCCGGCCGATTTGGGTGTTTCACCGCTTGTGCCGATACGATATTTAGGGGCGTTGTTTATTGCAACGGCTTTGTAGGCGCGTTGTGGATCGCAACGGCCTTAAGTGCGTTGTGTATTGCAACGGCTTTTAGGTCGCATCGGACCCGGGTGATTACACCGCTTAGGCCGATGCGGTCCTTGGGTTTCTTTTGCTCAAATCTTAAAAGATTGGATGAAACATGAATTTTATTCAGTAAGTGGCTCTAGGCCGAGGGTGTTTTATTCGACCAATAAGCCGAGGGGTGGGGGACGTTTGCCCGCTTCACCACTTCTCGAGTCATTGGTAAAATTTCACCAGGTGGTGTACATTCCACAATCGTGGTACATCTGACCCATTAGGGTTCTTTAGTTTATAAGTGCCGGCTTTGATGACGGCGCTGACGATGTAGGGCCCTTCATATTTGACGGCGAGCTTTCCTCCTTCCGTCGGCTTGCTTGCTTCCCTTCGGCGGAGGACGTAGTCCCCCACTTGGAATTCGCGAGAGCGGACTTTGGCGTCGTAATAGGATTTGACTTGTCGTCTGTAGTTCTCCGCTCTGAGGTAGGCCATTTCTCGTCTCTCGTCGATGAGGTGTAGGTCCACCTTCATTGTTTCTTCGTTGGCTTCGGGATCGTATTGTGTGACGCGTCGGCTAGGAAGCGTCACCTCAGTGGGAGCCTTGGCTTCAAAGCCATAGCACAAAGAGAATGGCGTCTCCCCAGTGGCCCTCCTCGGAGTAGTTCGGTAAGACCATAGGACGTTGGGGAGCTCGTCGACCCAACTTCCGCCTTCTTCCTCGAGTTTTTTCTTCAGCCCCTCCAAGATGGTTCTGTTGGCGTTCTCAACTTGCCCGTTGGCCTGAGGGTAGGCAACGGAGGAGAAACGGTGCTTGATGCCCCACTCTTGGAGGAGGCTTTGGAATGGTTCGGCCTCAAACTGGGTGCCGTTGTCTGATATGATCTCTTGAGGCACGCCGAAGCGGGTGAGGATGTTCTTGTAGACGAACTTTCGACACCGCGCTCCAGTGATGCTTGCGAGTGGTTCGGCCTCGACCCATTTGGTGAAGTAATCGATGGCGACGATGATGTATCTGTTGTTGCCCGCGGCTCTTGGTAGTGGGCCGACGAGGTCGATGCCCCATCTGGAGAATGGGATGGCAGTGCTGACCGGGGCGTAATTGACGGCTGGTCGGCCAGGTGCCCTTTGATAGTGTTGACATGCGCTGCATTTGCGGGCGACCTCAGCACAATCACGCGCCATCGTCGGCCAGAAGTAGCCTTGGACGACGAGGCGGCGCGACATGCTGAAGGGCCCCTGATGTGATGAGCATACGCCGCAGTGGACTTCTTCCATGGCCACTTCGGCCTCATTCTGGTGTAGGCACCGGAGGAGGGTGCCGTTGTATGATCTCTTGTAGAGCTTGTCACCCTCAATGACATAGCTTGGGGCCCTGAGCTTGGCTAGTTTGGCCCTCTCCTCGTCCTCTGGTAGCGTGCCGGAGGTGATGTAGGTTGCGATGTCAGTGATCCAATCCTCCGGCTGGTGTTGTATGGAGAGTATGGGGCTAGCGTGAATGCTCGACATGCTCAACTCCTCCACCTTAGCTATCTTGGAGATGTGCTCAGGGGTGTCGGAGCTGAGTTTGGAGAGGATGTCGGCCTCGGCGTTCTCCGCCCTTGGGATCTGAGTGATCTCGTGGGTATCGAACGCCTTGAGCAATTCCGCAGCGGCCTCCTTGTATTGCTTCATCCTCCCTTCTTTGGCCTCGTAGGAACCCTCCATTTGGCTCACTACGAGTTTGGAGTCGCATTTGATTCTGACGTGGCGTGCTTTAAGACCAGCGGCTAGTCTTAGTCCGCTGAGGAGCGCTTCATACTCAGCCTCATTGTTGGATACCTTGAAGTTGAAGCGGATGGCGTAGTACGCTCTGAATCCTTCTGGGGAGATGAGGACGACGCCACCCCCACAAGCTTTGGTGGCCGAGGACCCGTCCGTGTAGAGGGTCCAGGCTTCATCTGGTTCAGCCCCTGTGGTGGTGACGGCCGTTTCCCTTGCCGTGCACTCGGTGACAAAGTCAGCCAAGGCTTGCCCTTTGATGGATGGCCTCGGCTTGATCTCAATCTGGTACTGGCTTAGGAATATCGCCCATTTGATCATCCTTGGAGAGCTGGTTGGGCTCCTCATGAGGGCGCCCAGCGGCTGATGCGTGAGGACATGGACGGGGTGAGCCTGGAAGTAGTGTCCAAGTTTTTTCACCGTGTGGACAATGGCAAGCACCGTCTTCTCAATAGGGGAGTACCTGAGCTCGGCCTCCCGCAACGTCTTGCTGACGTAGAAAATTGCTTTTTGCACCCCGTTATCCTCCCTGATGAGTACGGAGCTGACGGCCGACGTGCTTACTCCCAAGTAAAGGAAGAGAGTCTCGCCGGGCTGGGGCTTGGATAGGACGGGTGGGGAGGCGAGATATTGTCTCAGCTCCTCAAAGGCTTGCTGACACTCCGTCGTCCATTTGAAGCTGGTGGCCTTCCTCATTATCTGGAAGAAGGGGAGCGACTTCTCCGCGGATTTTGAGAGGAAACGGTTCAGGGCCGCGAGGCGTCCCGTCAGTCGTTGTACCTCCTTTATGTTGCGGGGTGGCTCCATGTTGATAATGGCTTGTATTTTCTCCGGGTTCACCTCGATGCCCCTTCGACTGACCAGGTACCCCAGGAATTTACCTCCCTGGACGCCGAAGGTGCACTTCTTTGGGTTGAGCCGGAGGTTGTATCTCTTCATGATCTCGAAGATGCCCCGGAGGTCGTCGGCATGAGTTGTGGATTGTTTGCTCTTGACGATCATATCATCGACGTATGCTTCCATCGTCCGACCTAAGACTGCTCTAAAAACCCGGGCTACCATCCTTGTATAAGTGGCGCCGGAATTCTTGAGCCCAAAGGCCATGACGAGGTAGCAAAAAATTCCCTCCGGGGTCATGAAAGCAGTCTTCTCCGCGTCATCTTCATGCATGGATATCTGGTGGTACCCTCTGAACGCGTCGAGGAACGACATCAACTCGCACCCCGCCGTTTCGTCCACCAACTGATCAATGTTG